GTGTTCGAATTCTTTCTCAATAGTGCTGAGCTCTGCCTGTCCTGTGATTTCCCAGTTCCCTGATGGAAGTTAGGCAAAATGTTCGTGATCCCCAATTCTKGCCCTTATATCTATGGATTTGTCATGAGGGGAGATCTGAGAACCTCTCTGTGATACTGTATTGCTTACCTTTTATTGCTGCGTGTTCCTGTACATCAACCTGTCTACAAAATRTGTAGTTAGTGCAAAGTACGTGTCTACGTTGCTAATTCCTTGAACTGTGCTTTGGTGGAGCTGCGTTAGGCATCCTTTGGCTTAAGGCTAGTTTTCCTGATAATAAAAATATACCATAAAAATGAGCTGTACTGCACTGGCAGTGCAATGGCTTGTTGTACTGCAACAGCCTGGACTGTCCCAATGCCATGGCACATCCAATGCTTGCAAATTGTGCTTGAATGTGTTACTGGAAATGTGTAGCAATGAAACCACAGCTTTTGTTTTACCCCCGGAGAAAGGGATTTTGACTACATGTCCAGCATGTAGCAATTCAGGTTAATTTGCTTTTTTAAAATTTGGTTTTAGAGCATGCCAGCTTTTAGTAACACTGGTTGAATAAAGAAAGAACTGTATTATGTTTATGTARATGCAAAACTGGTGTCAGCTGAATTTCTTGCAGGCAATGGTGGCCCCAGCTGGCCCAAGGTGAAGGGAGCAGGGCAGCCGGTTCCTCTGGAGGTCAGCTGAGGAGAAGGGAATTSGGACCTGGGGATGGAATGCCAGGTGACTGTGATATCACCAACTCGACCATTAGACTAGACTCCAGAGAGAAGATAACTGTATGAGTTCTGAAAGCAGACCGTAACTTATCAAGTTTGTCTGGATTGTTTTTCCAGAACTAAAAGGTTATTTTAAATCTTGAAAGCAATAGATATATCACCTGACAGTGTACTTCATGAGACATGAAATCCATCTTTCTAAATTAATTTCATTTTCTCAAAGACAAACTGTGATTTTTATAAAACTATTTCCCACAGTCATGMTGTAGGACTGTAGTGGGTAGTATGATTTATTTGGTGGCAAAGAGGGTTTATAAATCAGGGTTGTAGTCACCTGTGTCATACACAATGAGGACACGATACGTCAGTGAGATGAGTTTCTTCATCTAATCAGCATAGCAGAAGCCTCCTGTCTGTTTACCTCAGTGTAAAGTGTGGAGACAAATGGCCTTTAGGTAAAACAGGGAAAACCTGGGAAAGGGATGATCATTGCAGAACAGTGCTGAGAGCCAAAGAGTGCTTGGGGATGAAGAAACAGCAGAGTTGTTCACAGGCTGAGGGAGGAGGACTCCTGTTTGGCTGGAATTTGCTATGGTGGCGTCTCCTGGAGAGGTGACTTGATGGTTAATCCTCTGTGCCATTTGGGCAGGAGATCTTTGCAGATGAGAAACCCTGTTGGCAGAGCAATGAGAAGTAAATCTGCCACTGCTGACAGCAGTCTGAGGGCTCCTGATGCAAACAGAAGCAGCAGCCTCTGGSGTTATTAGGTGGCTCTTGGCTGGGGCCAGAGCTGCCTTCTTGATCCATTCCCTGTATTCTCTGCTGCTGTGTGGGCTATCGGGATCCCAGCACCTCTGCTGTGTGTTAGGACTCAGGGCTTTGATGACAGTTTCCCACCATCCTCCTCCCTTCCCACTGACTCGRCCATAAAATCAACTGAACTTCCCAGCTGATCTTATTTTCTGTTRCATCAGTACAATGCTGTGCATGCTTTCACATCATAACACACCTGCTTAGCCTTACAGCCATGAAGCAGTTTGTCTCGGGCAAAGTCCAGGTGTCCAGGTGTGCAGGAAATCAGGTAAGTTAAAGTTCCTGAGAAGGAACAAGGAGAAAAAGTTCCCCTAATGGTGACTTCTTCCTCATCCTCTACTGCAGGTCCTTTTACCTGTTATCAGTTTT